TCTGCTCCAGCAGCAGTTGTCTGCAGCTAAATTTAAAAGGGATGCATTACCAGTGGCTCTGGCCTGGACATTGGTGCAGATATCCTGGGGTCTGAACACTGTACCATGTTTTGGGGGACAGTTTTGGAGAAGCAGTGGTTGAGTACCTGCTGGTTTGACAAGCTGGCAGACTCAGGGCCAAGAAATCTGGGGTCATCTAGCAAACTTTCCATTGACCTTCCTATTTAAAACCTGATATATTTATCCATTTTCCACCAGACACTAAGTACCTCCCAAACAGACAAAAATAGATACAAAGCCTTCCCTGAAATTTCCACTGTCTGTTTCACTTTACTTACTTTTTATGGTTAAGGAGAGACAATTTTAAGCAAATCTGTCTAGATCTACAGACACCTTAACTTTCAAGGAGATTTAATGTTGTTTGGACTGATTTTTTTTTTTTTACTCTTATTTCACTAAGTAAGATTTGCATTTTCTTTACTGCATTCAGCACTAAACTCCTGACCTAACCATAGTACAGGCTAAGGAGAAAATGTAGAGCCACTAAATATGACTGTATAACCTCCTACCTTCAGATCAGTGTGCAATTTTATCTACTCACACCAAACACCTAGAAACAACCAAACTAAGATCATGAACATCAATGGAAGAGGAAAATGAAGTTTAAGGAAATTGTGAAAAAAGTCTGGAATTTGAATGGGTTTTGGTGACTATGTCACTCACTGTTACTAGCAAATAAACAGACATATATAACCAGTTTGATTACACAGGCCTGCTAACACTAGCTCTCCTGAATTACTGATTTCTGTTTATTGATAGCATGCTGACATCACTTCTTTGCTGGTATCAAATTTTTGTAGCTAATTAAAATGCACCTTCTCTCCAGTCTGCATGCACCAAAACATGCTAGATAGATTAGCTTTCAGTGCTTTGCAGCTACCAGAATTATACATGAGCTGTGGGATTCACTCAGACTCTAGCAGAAACTAACTTGTATCCCAGTGGCAGACACAGACTGCAACCTTTGGCTTTCCTCACAACTGTGGAACATCTGGAGCCAAACAATTGGTTAGTACATTAAAAAGATAGGGAAAAGTAAGGAGATTCACGTGTGTTTCAAGATCCAAATTCCACTGTAATATTGGCATCTGCAAAGTTGGACTTGTCAGTTGGGACTATCTCTACTGTATTTTTCTTCTTCAAAGGAGGGAAAAATGTATATCCTGTTTTTAGGATATACACCCTAGGTTCTTGCCTTGCCTCTAACAGCATGGAGGGATTGAAGACCCACAAGACTTAACCAGCTGGATATTCTGGAGAAAAAGCCAGTTGACATTAAGGTGTTGAATTTGGCATCTACACCACCTACCTCTGCAATATTGGGGGTAGAACTGGCTCAGCAGCAGAAATTTCTACTTGGCTATTATCCACCAGTAATCTCTGCCGTGGGTCAGGAGTCAATCTGAATAGACAAACCTTTAGAAACTGGGAGATGAAATGAAGTCCTTTTGTAACTGAATCTGGCATCAGTAAGAAGCACATCCAAAAATCCAGCTTGAAAGCTTCACTAATGCTCCAAGCTTGAAAGCTGTGCAATAGTTTTAAGAAAAGAAAAACATTTGGAATATGCTAATTGCATCACATCTCTGGAAGGTTTTGAAAAATCTGATTCACCAAGTATTCTGAACTCCAAACAAGAGCTCTTAATCTGTTTAGGCTTCCATTTTAAACCTTCTCCCACCCACAGAAACCTCTACCATCTCCTCTATTTTCAATAGTGATGTGACTTAATAGTTTGATCTTATTTTCCTTTGCTTCTGACCTCACCATGACATTTATACCCATGTAAAGTTTGTAACTACAACTACAATGCCAGTTCTCTTTGCTATTAAAAACCATTAGGCCTGCTGTAGTCAAGATGATCAATATTATAGCAGAAGAATCTTAAACACATCCACCTCAGAATATTCTGTAATTCAGAAGAATGAACAAATCCTTACTTGTGTTTCAGAGCTTTTTACTTTTTTTCACTTAGGAATGAGATGAAGAGAAAGTTAAGAGTAAAATTTTAAAAGCTCCTCAGAGTATGTACATGCAAGTAGAATATGACACATGGATTTGCTAAACCAACATCTACCTGCACTGACCTAGATAGGTGGTTACTAGTTTCAGGGTAGACTCAATTTGCAGGAAATTTGACTGTCTACAGGGTTTTCTCTTGCAGGGTAGTGAAATGCTCTCAGAAGTGGAGATATGTCTGAATTCTGAAATATTGCACTTAAGAGCCTGAGGGCATGTCTAAAATAGCTTTAGAGTTTATTATTAGCATTTCATTTTTACAGATGACATGGAAGAAGAGGGAATAGGTTGCAAGAAAAGTCTTTTCTTCAGCAGGCTCCATGATTGGATTTCCAGAGGCAGTACAGCTGCCTACAGCGGCAGAGAGGTGTCTGGGGGAAATTCCAAAAGCTCCTCAGTGAGCAACGTGCCTAATCTCAATCAGCTCTGAAAAGAGTGAAATTCCAGACCTGTTAAAATGCTTTTACAACACCAGTAAAGAACTTCTTTGCGCTGCTAGACATCTAATTACCTTGACAAGATGCACTCCAATTAGTAGCAGATGGCCAGGAAAAGGAAAAGGGTTGAAGTGTTTTGCATTTTATTAAGTATATTCTGCTTCTGGGCTAGGAAAGGTTTTACTTTTCTGGCTGTGACTCTGACTCAAGTTACTCTGGCCAGGTAATTTCCTGACTCAGTAAGACACCGTGGAACAACAGCAAACAAGGTGAGGGGCAGGCTCCATGGAAGGATTATTTATTTACACAGTGACATGGTGTGTGTCTTCCCTCAGTGATGCCACCACCATGTCCTTAACTCCTTCCCTATCACCAGCCTCCCCTGAGGGAGACAGGATGATGCTCTCTGAGGTGTTGGCAGTTCCTCTGAAAGAGGGAGCTTTTAATGAGTTGGTGCAAGGCAAATGGGGCTGCTGCCTATCACACAAACTATCATTGCAGACACTTTTTCCTGTGAATGTTACATACTAGAGAATGCTGAGAAAATTATACTTACTAACAGAAATGAAAAGAGCCTAATTACAATGATTTTTAAAGAGAGAGTTAAAGGATGCGTGTCAAAAGGGACTGATATATAATTATGATAATATCAGTTGCAACTCCTGTGCTAATTACTTGAAATGGGTGGCGTGCAATTCTTTTGAAAGCAAGCTACTCTGACAACAAAATTATATAATCGTATTATGAAATTACAATAAAGTTGAAAGAAAAGTAAAATTAATATATTGGTAGAAGTAATAACCAAAGAGGCAGCACTAAATGTGCTGGAAAGACAGAACAAACAGAAGCCCACCAACTGTCTCCAACACAAATCTGTGCTACACATTTGACTCACACAGTGTCAGAAACTGAGATGCTGCACATGTTGCCTACACTGGCAGTCAAAATCAAGACATATTTATATGACAAGAAAAGAGTTGTAAGAAGTGGAAGAACAAAGGAGTAAAAAGAGGAAATATTAAAAAAAAATGGGAAAGAGCATAAACCTATCAATCACAGTGCTGAACTGTGCTGGAGCTTTGAGAATCTCCATGCCTTGGCTTTGTTCTGGATCCTCTGAGGTACCCCAGACATCCAGCCTATTGAGCATGCTGGGCCCTGTCTGATTTGGGCACTCAGACATCTTCAAGGGATGAGGTTTTTCTATTTGGTTTCACACTGGCTGTATTACACTGATAAATCTGTCCACAATACTTGGTATAAATGGAATATTAAAGTTATTACTTAAATTTAGTATACATTATGTTCATCATGGATGTATTAAAGTTATACAGAACCCACACCTACTATAACATAATGCCATCTGTTGACAAATGACCTAGGCACTGAAAAGCTCTGATTTTTTTCATTCATTAGAAATGAAATAATAGCACATTCATATGCAAGGCCACAGATCTGCTGGTAAGTCCATGACTTTAATTATGGTGTAGCCTAGAAAAATGAACCATTGTTTGAACAGTGACATCAACAGATTGTAGGTTAATAGTGGTTTCCAGATTTGTGTGGCCACCATGAGGAAACATGAAAAGTTTAATGGATTTTCATGCATACTGCATTGCCATCAGTCTAGTAGTGGAAAATAAGACAGAATAAAACGTTTCATATTATTCTATTGACTGTCTGGAGGTCGTTTATCTCATGAACTGCAGTTTAGATCACGTTAAGCTCTCATCATCTCATTTAATAGCAAAGACACAATCTCATTTATTAGCAAAATTTACATCTCATTTCTAAAATTTTAAAGCAGCAAAAGTACACTGGCAGTTGGCTAGATCTCCTCATTTGCTGCAACTTTGGTAAATACTCTTCTCTATGTACTGCAATCTGTTCCCATGAGATGCTACAGAGTGAAAGGATCCCACCTAACTTCCCCTGTTTCTTTAAATTCTGTGTTATAATCTACCCTTGTCCCTTTCTGGTAGAAGAAAAAAACCCTGTAGTACTTTTCTAACGTATGAGTGTTTTCATTGCTAAACTTTTCCTTAAAGAAAAGTGCACGTTTGAAAGTCTTCCTCTGAGCTGTTATCTCACAACCACTTGCCACTGGTCTGTATCCTGCCATGGCTGCATGCTATTTATTCAATAGCATTGAATAGAAAGAAGAATGTTTCAACTTTGCAATAATTTTTTATGTAATTTTTAGAAATTATGATGATTCAGTGTAGACTATGTTAAAATTCTTATTCAAGTTTGCAAGGAGCATGGCTGAAGTGATTAACAGGATTTCCATGCAAGACAGCAAAGGTCTTTTGGAATTCTATGTGGTGGGATTGAAGTGCGAAAAATATGGAAGACTTATCATGAAACCTGCCATTTTACAAAACAGAAAAAAATCCCAAGCAACACCTAGCAACAAGAAATAAGCCAACAAAGAAGCAGAGCAGCCTCAGCTGCATTTCTGGCATTTACTAGAGGCTTTCTTACCTTCACTGCAAACTCTGTTTCTGTAGCTTTATGAATGCATCTCTTGCACACTGAATAGGAGCCAATTCCTATGTCCTCCTTGATCTCGTATCCATCAGTAAAGTGAATGTTGTTCCCATGTAGCTGCTATAGGGAAAGACAAAAGAAACAAGGAAATCAGGACATGGATCTGTAAAAGCAAGGACTAGCTTCCTCTTGAAGAAGGTCCTTGATCTCCTCTCCTTCATAGAACTCTCTTGTCCTTAGCAGCTTTTCCAAATCAAATCAAAAAGTTCTGAAGCTCTTTATGTAAACAAGCAAATGTGTCTTTTCCATTTCTACCTTTTTCCAGTCTGTAAGATGGAATTGTCTATGTAGAAGTAGTGGCAAAACTGTTGTGCTTTTCAAAACTATTTTTGGAATGCAGAAAATCACCATATATTAGAAATTCATAGGAAACTGTGGGCCCAAATTTCCTGACAAATCCACATATCTTGACAATATAAACTGATTTCTAATTACTGAGGGGCAGATAACATAAAATACTAATAGTTTCACTGTCTTCAAGAGAGATACCCTATATATGGGGGGCACCTCCAAAACATTGGAGGTTTTGTCTAGAATATGTTTATCTGCAGTTTCTTTGTGAGAGAGAAGTTAATATTTTAAGCCATTAATTCATATGCTCTTTGAAAAATGTCTGGGCAGGTAGACTGGTTCAATGGTGAGCCCCAAATCTGAGGCTTTGCTGCAAATTCCATCCCAGGACTCAAGAAATGACCAGCACCTCTAAAAGTCCTCCAGAATTCTCTGTCTGAAAATGCAGCCTTGCTAGCAAAGTCCACACAGAACCTGCCAAATTCTAAGACATGCATATGCCAATATTCAACATATTTTTACAAAGCAAATCATAGGAATATATATAACATTTCTGAGATCTAATGGCTTGGGTAACATTTCACTTACTGTTCCATAAAAGCATGTTTAACAGTATGACACATTTCACTGTAAATAATTAAAACGGAGATGAAAATCTACAAAAACCACAGGTAGGATCTTCCCTGCTTGAGGCATGGGTATGAGAGGGAGCTTTTTCCTAGTGAGAAAATTGGCTGCATCCTTAAGCAGCCCAGTTCGTTCTCCCCGTTCCCTTCTCCTCTCATGTATTGAACCTCTTGTAGCAATTTATTTCTGGTTTAAAGTACAACTGGATAGATTTTTTTAGGAGAATGGCAGCAAAGAACCAAGTGGTTGGTATTTTCCCCCATCAAGCACCCTGGTTTAGGTGAGTACACCCAGCCTTTTGTGCAACAGCAGCAGGAGTACAGTGGTCTCTTACACCCAGGAGCTTGGGCTCTGTGTCTCTGGGAGAACATAGCAGTAATTCATCAAACCCCTTTGCCAGCACAGATTGGATCATGTAACCCATGACAAAACTGTTGGGAATGAAACACATTCAGTGAAAGAACAGTATTTCATTACTTGCTCTGCATGCACAACTGGAATCCTGTTTCAGGTATTGAGAAGTACTTTTCATTTTAGTTGTGACAAAATGCAGTTCCTATTTCCTTTGCAAAGGTGGTGAGGAACGTTTTATACATAAAAGCATTTGCAAAAAATTTCTCATTTTCCAACACCTACATGCTGCATTTAAAACACCTCCTTCCCACACTAGATAGCTGTGAAATGCCAGTGAGAACATTAGGCAGTTTAAATACACACATACGTATGTGCACATCAGATGTGAAATGTAACCAGCATCAGTACCTGTACAATTGGATGAACAGTGATTTTGTGCACATCTTGCTGTGCAGGCTCCTGCACCAAGTTAGAGGCAACAAAGCTGAACCCTCTGAAAAGATGATGAGCATTGGCACTTGGAGGAACACCTGGGGAATCTGTAGGAGAAGGAAGAAAATGGCCTCATGAGCTGCACAAAAGAACAGACAGGAATAGCACGGCACTACAACAAAGTCACCCCTGCCAGTCAATAGCAGATCTGATAAACTGGCAGACACAGGGGAATATAATTAATCTCCCTAGCAAGGCTTTGGTGTGCCTTCTCCATTGCTTTCCTCTGTTTTGAACAATGCAGGGGTATTGTTTGCAAGGATATCTCTGTTGGATACAGGTTTGTTTCACAGGGCATTCTTAGGCAAAGTACTGCCTGTGCCAAGAGTGCACAGAGCGAGAGAAGGCACAGGGCAGAGAGGCTTGGTGAGAGATAGGAGACTCAAGGCAGAGCCCCTTGCAGGGCTTATCAGATGTTCTCCAGGAAGAAGCTACAGGCTTCTATAAAGCTGGAAAAAAGCTGGAAAAAAGCTATAGGCTGCTATGTCTGTTCTTAGCAGCACAATTTAACTACAGAAATGACAAAGATCAAAGTGGCACACTCCATGGGTCAGGAGAATATAGAGAATGCATGAAAAGAATGTAAAAGCACAATACTCCAGTAGTGGCCTTATAGGAATCTTCTGGAGCAGCTTTAGGAGCCGGGACTTACTCCAGGGAAGATAGTGGCTGACTTGCCCTCAGGTGGAAAAAAAAACAAGGATTGTTTTAACTAATCTTCATGGAGGTTTTCTCCCCATCCCTTCCCCTGACATGGCAAAAGGAGGGAAGGAATAGCTAAAGTTCAAAAACTCCCGAATTATTCTATCTTTGGAACGCAATAAGCTGAGAGCATTACTTTGTACCTGCAGCACTGCTCAGTGAGAGAAGCAGCATGACGAAGCAAGCAGAGCTGTGCTTCACTTAGAATTCTGAAAAGCTTTGAAGAGATCTTTCTCCCCAGTGTATGTTTTATCCTGGGTATTTTCCTCAGCAAGAAGAATCACTTTGTAAACTATTCCTTGGCAACAGGCTGGGTATTATAAAACCTATATTACTAAAATTTGCTAACCTTTTTTTCGGTTCCTGGGGGGCTTGTGGGGTTTTTTCTCTTTTTCCCTTCACATTTCCTCCAATGCACCATGGGATTTACTGACAAAGTTACAGAGTTAGATTTTCATTAGAAAGCTATTTCCTTGTAGTGAAGTGTGTAAATACCCAGTTGTCTAAAGAAAATACATCCCCAGTGAGCTTTTTATCTGACTCACCTGCTTGAGGCCCTGAAAATATGTAAAGATGTGTACTTAGCATGCACACACCCTGTATAAATCTACTGGTCAAATGAGTAGAGAAACTGAAGTCAGAACTTGATAAAACCAATATATATCTGCTTGGGAATAAACAAAACTGAGACCAGATAATTCCATTTCTCATCACAAAGCTGCCTCAGCTTTGACAGGAGTCAAGAGTCAGTGTGTTCTTACTGCACAGCAAGCAGAGTTCAGATGGAGAAGATTGTCTTTCGGTAAAATGGCATGGGATTTTTGTTTATCTCAGTGTTTTTGATGGGCACTCTCCTTGCAAATATGTGGATGAATCACACCAGACCTCTTGCATCACTGGATACTTCCTACCATGGCATATCTATAACAGTGATTTTTACACAAGGGATTAATTAAGAGGAAAGAATGTTTGTTAAAAAAAAGAGGAATAACAATAATTCACATCTTAAAACTTTTGAACCTCAGAAAAGCTGTGATGCAGCTCTAAAACAAAAGTGGTAGGTGAGCTCTGTTTAAAAAAACTGTTCCTTCATAATTCACTGCCAATCGCTTCAGCAAATACTGCAGAAGAACTATTGATGATTTGGTGTTCACTATTAAATATTCATCACCAACAACTGATTTGCCCATTAAAACATTTCTGCTAAGTGCAAAATTATGCATAAATTATGTTAATTAACTGATAGCTCAGATACAGAAATAATTTTTCTAGGCCTTATAAATCAGAATAATTTCATATATCTGAATTAGATTCACTTACAAGCACCAATCTTGTTTAATGGTTATTTTTCTTCCTGTGAAAAGTAATAATGCTTTGTTCCACTACAGTATCTAAGTTTAAGGGTTTTCAAAGGCTTCATAACTCTTAAGTTACTTCCTTCATCATGTTTCACTGGGGTTAGCAAACATCTTATCTGTAAAGGAGTATATTTAGATACTTCAGGTGAAACTTCACATACTTTTTTTTCAGCAGTAAAGCCAGTCTAAAACATCCCTGCTGGTTACAGCCTGCTGTCCCATCAATTACAGCAGCACAAACATTTGTGGACTGAAGTCTAAATTGGGTCACAAGAACGATCTTGGTTTGATCCTTGTCCAAATCACCATTTCTAACCTAGATTACTTCAGCCTCCAGCTCCCTGTAAGGAGCTGAGTCACCACAAATGAGATGTGGGGTCACAGTGGTGAATTTAGGAAGCAAATGGCCAAAAAAAGCAACTCCAACTTGGACAAGTCTCTGAGAAAAAGTGATGTGAAACTATAGCCACATAAATGATCTGTCAGTCTCAGAAACCACATCTTTGGCACACTCAGGTCTGAAGTTAAGAATCCACAGAATGTGGTTTCAACCTCCAGGGTAAAGGAAGTTTCTGAGGTACAGCAAATCACTGGACTGACAGGGTTTACTGGATGCAAAACTTTGACACAAACCTGCTTTCAGACAGGAGAACTCCTTCATAAAGGCAGTGTAAAATAGTGATTGACAGCTTTGTTAAAACACAACTGCATGATCATGAAGCAGGAATTATTACAGGCTGTTCTCAGTAATAGGGTTACTTTGTTTGGGGTCTATGTACTCATAATCATAAGCAAAATAAAAAAGGTTATTGCTCTATTCCATTGGCAATATGAGCCAGTATTAAACACACTTGTGATACTCTCCCCAATTTATATGACCCTAATAGTCAACAGTCAGGGGCTGAAAAGTATTCTGCCAGTCTGCCAGGGCTTTTCCATCATTCTGAAAGTATAAATGGATTCATGAAAGTGTAAATGTTTGATCCTCAGGCCACTATCCATGGTAACCCAAAGCAGAATTGAAGAAGGCCACCTCCCCACCCTTGCCATCACCCCAAAACAAACCTTCCAAGTCAGTGTCTCGTAGGAAATAACAAATTTAATTAGGCAACAGCAGTTAAATGTAGATTGTAATTTATAGCCCCAGGCATCAGTAAAAGCAATGAAGTGTGAACTTCCAAAGCAATCCAAACTTTTAATGCTTCTTTGCATTTCAGTGACACTTCCCATGGGAGAAGCAGAGCACACATTCTTGAAGACCAGACTAACTTGCAACCTCCAATATTTCAGAGAAATTAGTGCTTCTGAAATCTAAATTAAAGCTAAAATCAGATGTGTGAAATGTCTAGAAACCAAAGATCATATTTCTATGCAGGGGAATAGGAATATCAGGACATGACCAACATATAACTGGAGACAGGTGGATGTTCCAGTTATAAAAACAAGAATAGAATATTTTTATAGTTCGTAAAAGGCAGAACATCCTTGGGAAAAGAAAATAGGAACTGACTGAGGAAAGATTTGAAGTAGATACCCTTATTTCAAACCCATGAAAGGAAATTTGAACCAGGCTTTGAATAGAATTTTGGGCTAGTTTTAAGTCAAAATGGTGTAGGTCACGATAAGTCTGAATAAAAACTGCAGGAAATCTCAGCTCTGATTCGCATGCTATAATATAGGTGTTTTCATAATGAAAGCTCAGATCTTTCCCTCTCACTGCAACAGTTCTGAGGATTTGAGGATTTCAATTTGAGGATTGAAGCTTGAGACCTTATACTTGATTGTTACACAATATTATGTAGCATTTACAGTGCTTACCACCTTTAAAGTGTTTTGCAACAACAGCTAATTCAATGTTTACACTTTAGAAAGCATAAACGGGTAATTCTTGACACAGGTACATCACAGGTAGAAATGTCATGTACTTTATTCATGTCTAGCAGAAGGCAACATTATAAGTGGGATTACCACTCTGACATTATTAATATTCTTGTTTATTTAAAAGAGTGGAAAGATTGAATTTTATGCAACAGACACCTTCATATATGTAGTGTACAAAGCATGGTATTTCTTTAGGAAATAGAAGTTACAGGAACAACATTCTATCTGCAAGCATTTTCTAAATATTCTGGGCCAAATTTCCTGTTGGCATAACTCTGCTGACCTGAGAACTAGATGATTCTTCATTGCTTTTAACTACACAATAACTTCCAGTAGTCCACAGTCCATGGGATGTCATAATTAAACAAAACATCTATGCAATATCTAATAACATACTAACTTGCAGAGATACAAAGTTACTTGAAGCCAAGGTAATTTAACATAGTTAAATTCAGCTAGTAAGCAAAGATAAGTAATAAAATAGCAAAAGAATAGTTATTTTTCCTTTAAAAAATGTGAAATCTGTTTTTCCTGAAGACAAGTTAATATGAAGCTGGTGAAATACTTATGAGCTTCTTTGCTGGAAAAGCAAAATCAGTCATTGCTTCCTACTGGATATGGCAAAACCCTGTAATGCCACAGGTGATCAGACTTTTAAGCTGCGTTGGAATAGGGAGGGGAAAAGACAAATGAATTTACTAACTGAAAAGGTGAATTACCCACGTGCCACCTTACTAACCTGTAGGGGTCCGAGAGGTGAACTCTGGATCAAAATGAAAGGTGTCTTCTGGCCGCCCCACTGCAGGCTTGAAAGGCGGCTTGATTTCTTTTCTGTACAGTTTCTACAAGGAGAAAAACAGACCACAATCAGCATCAGTGTGTTACACTCTCAGCATCTGGAGATACACTCCCCTCCTTTCTTTAGGGTGGGCTCCCTCAGCTCCATGCTATCCTCGCTGGACTGCCAGACAAGGATGATGGAGCTGTGGTTCTGGCTCTTGCTTTACCACTTGGCCTAAAGTCTGTGACCTGGATGGTCCCTGCACATTTTAGCTACTGGAATAATAAATATAAACACAAATGTTCCTGGCAAAAAATTTAGCCCATAGGCTGGAACAGTATTCCAAGCTGGAGCATCTGGAAATTCACTGGTCTAAGGGCAGAACTGGAATGTGCAATGCTAAGACCAGGAAACAGGGTAACTTCAGCAGTACAGCAACCAGCACAAAGAATTGCTAGGAAGCCATGACTGCTTTAGCATTTATTATTTGTCAAGAAGCAGCAATGTGTTTGACATGCTGCCAGACTGAGCTGAGCAATGGTTGTAAGGCTGTAAGGACCAGGTCGGCTGCCTGGTCCTTACAGCCTAAACAAGACTTGTTCTTTTAGCATATCTGGTAAAAGGGAAGAGGATTTACAGCTGATGATTACATGAAATTCCCACCAAAAATGCTAGGGAGAAAGCACTGTGGATGGGTGGGCAATCATACTGAAGCTCTACATGTGGCTTGAACTGAGGAACAAAACAAAGCGAAAACATAATGAAGATAGGAAGGTATGTAACGTAAGTATTGCTAAGTGTGCAAGTTTCTGCTGGTGCCTGAGGAGTCATGTAGGGGATCACCTAGGTAACAGGCACCATAAGTTCATCCTAATATATCCTGCCTTTGTTATGAGGGACTTCATGTCCTTTTTACTCATTCTCAGAGATTTTTAAGAAATTGCTACCCCATGCTCCATTGCAAGCACTCCCACAAACACAGACAAGCACACTGAGGTGAGGATGTCTGGATCTGATCCAAAGCTTGTAGAGGTTAATGGAAAGAGCCCATTGATTTCAGCCATCTTTGCATCATCTCTGCCTGAAATGGCCAAAACTGAACATCATGCTAATGGCAGCATGGGGAGCACAGGTCCAGTTGGACTCCCTGCCCCGTGTTGCAGTCCCTTTCTAGCAATGCTTTGTTCTCAGGTTTCAAAGGGCTGAATTAGTTGCCACAGACAGTTCCCAGTAATTAACATATCTGAGCATAAATATAGCGTTTAATGCAAACTTTCAAATCATGATAAGAACTGGAGAGTTCAACTTTATGACTGTTTGCAATATGTATTTTTAGGTTAGCTCTTAAAACAACTTCCTAATAAACTGATTTTTCAGATGTTTAATGGACATTACTAAATGCTTGTCCAGCTCCCTGCGTGCAGGAAGATTCTTTTTAACTGTGTGTTTTCTGGGGAATTAACTTCTGTAATACAAAGCATGTAGTCAAATCTAAGATACACATATCACCATAGTTTGAATTGAATTTTGCATAAAGGTTCATGATTTTGCATAAATAAAGGTTCTTGAAGGAGAACATTCTGTAACATAGTATTAGCTTTAACATAAAGGATATATTTGTGGTTGAGTTATGATTCCTTGGGAAAGGGAGACAGTGAGGTTGGAAATGACTACAATAATTAATGGCCATTTCACCATAAAAAGTTCCTGCTTGCGTAAAACTGCTCCATATCTTTGGAGAGGAAAGGAGATGAATAACTGCTGTGAGCCACAATGGAAAGCCAGTCTTCCAAATAATTAAAAGCCAATTGCAATCTTATGCAGGAAGTGTCACTCATCAGCTGAACAGTATCAACCTAGTAATTAACATACATCTTTTTCTGTCTGCCCAGAACTTCACAAGAGAACTCAGCACCTACTGAAGGTTTTTCTGTTGCTAGGATTTCACCTTGAGAAGCTATTTGCTTCCCAGCTTCCCTTTATTTGTCTTAGTTCACAACTGCAGTACTTCTACTGCAGAAAGCAATATGGTCACATGCACATGCTTCCTCACGGAATTAACTGCACAGCTCATCCTGTGAGGTCCAAAAATTGGAAAATGTTCCAGAGCTGTACATCATTCAGGAATCTTTTCATTATCGTAACCATATTCTTTCTGGCCTCTTAATTCCTTCCCCCATCTGTAGTTTCTTAAGTGCTGCTGGAGCTACATTTGTATTTTGAATCCCTAACCCACATCCTCCACTGCTAGAGAGTGATTTAAGATTCATCGTGAGTCACACGCCACCAAAAGATTTATAATCACAAATTTGCTTTCTGGGAGGGGATGGAAACAAAGAAGTTTCCTGTGTGAGTGAAAGGTACTCCTTTTGAGAACACCCCTTATGACTCCCTTTTCCTTTTCCTTACCCACTTGTGACAAAAAAAAGACAACAGAACAGCTAAAGGTAAACTGCCTAAAACATTTTTTTTCCTCAAGCTCTAGAATAGAGTAACTAAATTAAATCATTGAGGACCAGGAAAAGCAGAGTAGCATCATCTATGAACTTCTCCATCCAACACTGGCTCCAGCTCTCTGAGTGAGCCACTACAGCCAAGCGAAATCACTAAACCACAGGGCAGCACAACACAATTAAACATGAAGGCCTGCTACAGGCAGAACACCTCTCCCTTTTAAAACCTGCATCCTCCTGTAGACTTTAAAACTCAGTGTGGCACAAGCTGATCTAAAAAATAGTAAGAATCACAGCCATTGCTTCGCATACACATAGAGAGAGAAGCTCCTGGAGGATTTGTGATCCTTCTGGATTTTTCAAGAATATTTTTAATTTTAGGAAATGTATGAATATAATATCTCTTACCGTGGTCCCCAGATTATTCAGGGATGATGTATCTTGACCTCTTCTGGCAGAAACCAACCAGAGTAGGAAATGACAGCAAGTTAAATTTCAAATCTTGCATTTGACCATTCCTATCAGACTGTCCATAACTTTGGGTGAAGTTTAAGCAGTTATGTACTTTCTAAGTCATGGTAATCTTAGTACTGTATGCAAAAGCTACAGTGAGTTCCATTATCTGATTAAATGGGAAGAGGTTCCCAGTTTTCCTGGTTTAAATTCCAGTTTTGATATCCAAATATTTCTTTTGGGGCATCTTATTAGGCATTTAAAATAGACTTTGGATATCATAGTGATAACTGGAGCATTTAAATTTCATGCTGGGTACTTATAATCATTATATATTTGTTATCTTGCACAGGTATAAGAAGCTGAGGATTTTTTTTTTCTTTCACATTGTTCCCACATCCATAAAGGAGAATTGCACTCCTTAGCCATTAATGCTTTAATGAAAATACTATTTATTTCTCTTTCCCTGTAAAGAAGAAGCTCCAACATTCCATCACCATTTTTTTTAAACTGGCTACATCATTGACTCAGCACAGGAGAATGTGACTGACAGGTATGAAGAATCACTGCATAACACACAGTGTTGTGGGATCCAGAGGCTGAGCTGAGGGAGTGCATAAACCACAGAACAAAGCAGATGGTCTCCATGAAAACACCGATTTAGATATTCACACCTGGACACACATCTATGCTTCTGACCACTTATCAACTCCTCACATCCTCCTGAGACTTTCATAATAAGTACCTATGAATTAATTAGAAACCATATCTATAGCAGTTTAAGAAATTACAAGCTTCTACTCTCCTTCAGATTTCAGACAAAAACATTTTTATTTGAAATAACTAATTTTCATCCAAGTGCCACTGACTTTTTCTAAAAATATGCTGCCATATCCCTAGTATGATCCTTATCTGAACACCTCCTCAGCTGGAACTCCAATAATACATGAGAGAGAGTAGTAATAAAATGCTGCAACAATGTGTTTTCTTCTATTCTTACTTATAAGTATTTAATTTTTCATCACCTTTAAAAAAAACACACTGCTAAAAACCCCAAAGATGTAAATGCTCTGTACAGATGTAAATGTCTGACAAATATCTAGAAAAAGAAAATGGTTTAATTTCATTAAAAACTATTTAGTCATTTCCTGAACAGAGTTTCTTTGATGAAGAATTGAATTATTCCTTAGACAACTTCTAGAAATAGAAAGATGCTACCCTTCACAGTGGTGCACTTGTAGTGTGTGAATAAAGTCCCTTGATACATATACCTGTCATGGCAAATCCGATAAGCAGACAAAAGGATGAACTACATTCTGAAATGCTTGTCCTCTCCTAGATTAATGACTCAGTGTTATTGCTTGCAAATGACAGAAAAGCTAGCAGAATTCAGACCCTAGGATTAATTTTTTGCTGTTTGTAGAATTGGTAATTAAATAATTTAAAGTTTCAGTTCAGTTTGATCTCTGATTAATATTGAAGGAAAAAGAACTGGAATCCACTTTCTTCCCATTCCTTTCCTCAGCTGTATTTGGCAGTTCATTTTCAAGCATGTAATTTGCTATAGTTCAAATTTAGTCTGTCATCCAAACAAAAACTACTGTTTACAGCCCACTCCTCCGACAGCAGTCTGCAAAAAGGGATTGCATTTTTCATTTTCAATGAAAAGACAGAAATTCATTATGCATGACCTGGAAAGAAGAAACAGTAGTAAAAAATCAGGAAGCATACTGTGCTTTCTCAGAGCCAATGACTTAAATTATTTGAAGTCAACTTGTTTTGGGTCTGCTTGTCTTAAGAAGACAAGGAGGTGCAAGGTTAATAAGCAGGTGAAACTGTCAAGGAGCTAGACATCTAATCTCTCTTCTGAGCATCCCAGCCTTGATCATGAAAGACAATCCATTCATTTAACAACAGATCTATTGAATTTACGTCATGGTGCCTGCTAAATGCCTCAGAGCAGCCAGACTTCTATTTGCAGAAACCTCCAGCTATTTTTCACTCTGGAACTTAGGGCTTTGTTACAGGGTAACAGCTGTAAAAATGTGAGTCTTAGAAAGTATCATGCCACCATTTAAGTCTGGGAAAAAACCCCTGTGTCAGATTGCCAGCAGCTCATTTAGTGCAGAAGTTAGCCAGAAGTTAAACCTAAGGTGGCCGGCAATTTTGGTGAAGGATGGCACCCTGGAACATGGGAACAGCTTCTGGGAAAGGCCAGGAGGAGGAGGGTTCCCTGGCCACATGGACACTTTCCAGGATTGCCTCTGCATGCAGTGGTCATATGGTACCAGCACGCTGTGCTTGGCAGCAGCATCTGCAGCATCATCACAGGGGCTGTTCCTGCACTGTGTCTGCTGTTTCCACTGGGTGTTCATCCAAACCAGATATTGTATCTGCTTGTGTCTGTTTGAAGACAGTAAAAGATGGGAAATGGTTGCCCCAACAGGTAAACACTTCACGGACAGAGAAAATAACCAGCTCCAGTCCAAACCTCAAGGGAACAGCTCTGAAAATACTGTGAAAGGAAAGCCCAAGTCACAAGGTTCCATTTGTAGTTCTAGTATCACTGCAACACCAAGACTTCACACATGTCTTAGAAGGAAAAAGATAACTCATTTCTGTTTTGAATCTGTCTTTAAAATTAGATGATGCAACTTGGTGCTTTGTTCCTGGTTATCATGTCGGTCTTGTAAGAAAAATCATGCTTAAAAGCAAACCTGTTTCACACTGCATTTCTAGGAGGCACTAACCCATTTTTACCCTTCATGATAAGGGGGCTTTTGATGGAGGATTTTTTTACTACAGTTGCTGAAATTTTCTGTGCTCTCAGTCACAGCAGTCCTGTCTATTATAGCTGCTAAGGTGGCACAGAAGTTCTCCAAAAGAGGTTGCCTCTTGCTCTCTGAGGTCTTTATATTGCCAAGGCATAAAGCAAATCATCGTTTCTGTTCCATCTCAACAGTGCTGTTTGCTGACTGTCTCCAAAATGATGTGGCAGATTTTGTATACATTATGAGAGAAAAAATGAGGGCACCAGGGATTCTTTTCCTCCAACTGTACAGAGATCAGTGCTATAGGTAGAAACATCCATGTATGATCCATTTCTGTTCTCTGACTCTCTTCTGTTTCTGCACATGGAGAATATGTTAACAACTGGTTGGATGATTATTGAGAGTCAAAGTTCTGGCTTCAGCTCAGGGCCAGGCTCACACTGCTCTGAAATACATACAGTACTGTAGCTGCTGGAACAAGACAAGCCTTCCAAGATCTCCTTGAGTGATTGCAAAATTAGGATAAAATGAGGAAATATATTACAAGGATGATAGCTGATCGGTGTAATAGTGATCTGTCTCCGAGAGAGTGCAATAAGCACTAATTATGTTGGATTAAAATGGATTTTAACAGCTATATTTCACAGCAGAGTTAGAGGGCTCGATAACACATCAAAAGGCAATTAAATCTACCTTCCTCTCTAGCCCCAAGGCATGTTCAAGCATACCTATCTTCTTTGTGGTATATATTTCCCTGTCTGTAACAGCTTTTTCAAATGATGGAGGACAGTAGAGTTTCCTTAGGACAGGCATGAAATTATTCCCTAAAGAACGAAGCTTGAAACAATCACCAATTATCATGACAGAAGGTGGTCTTGAGTATTCTCATGGGACAGAGCTGACTTTTCTGAAAACCTTTCCAATATGCAGAGCCTCATCTATTTATGATGAGTTAGTGAGCTGGTCCCCTAGCAAACACAGAAGAAAAACCCTCTCACTGTTACAGTGCTTCTTATTACATCAAGATGTAGTTATCTGACCTATATTTTGATTGCAAAGCTGAGGACTGTGGAGATACTGGGGAAAATATAGAAAATAATATTATTGTTATTAATGTTAGTATTTAATAATTGTCATCATCATCGACAACCTAAGTCATGGGATTCTCTGTTTTTTAAATTTTCCCTTACTGTTTTCATAAATGTAAAGTCTTCATACAGAATCTCATGATTAGTAAGAATCAGAAAAGGAAAGACACTGTAGGCTCTACAACATATTTAATGGCTCTAAAAACCAGCAGGACTATAAAGGAAAGTCTCAAAACCCACCTTCATTAATTATGTTTTAATATGTTTATGAGTCATGATAACTCTTCAAAAGGCAACCAAATTAGATTTTTCTAATGAGTTTTTCCAAAATAAATGGCTTTGTGGGCCTTTCAAAGGCTACCTGGGCAGCACAAAATGTTCTCTCACAGAGGAATTAGCTTCACTGCAAAGTCCTGGGCAGCAGTTTGAGAATGGTTCTGTCACATAGATTCACACAGTTTTACCAGAATTTCTGGTAAGAACTGCATCAGTGTTACCTGTTGTACTAGCACTCATGAGTGAATGCATTAAATACTGAAGAGACACGACAATACCATGACACAAGTCAGATAAAATTAAACTACAAAATGCAAGGGGATGTGGCAAACAGCAGCTCTGATGCACTGGCAGATTCCAGATCAAGAATGAAAAATGTTTGCCCTCAGGTTTGTCTAAGAATAAGTTAATTTGAACAATTACAATGCTGGAAATGTGAGATTTAACCTCTTACGAGTCTAAATCAAACACTCAGATAATCTGCAACACCACCTTTATGACCTGTAGTTGATTGCAACAAAATAAATCCTTGTTTACCATTCTGTTAATCACATCTGACATGTCTTACTTGAATAATGTTTAATTTGATCAATTGTTCCAATTTTGAGTACTGAAGCCAACATGCATTCAAGAGAGACAGGGGCACCCACTGAAAAGGCTCTAACTCCTCTGTGTCAGACAAGTTAGGCTCTCTATGTTAGAGAAAGTAATCCTTTTCCTAAGCATGGCAGTTTGTCTTCAGAAAATGTAGCTAAAAATAAAATGCTGCTTCACTTACATTCCAGTCTATAGTAACAAAGAAAGGGTGACGCTTAATTTCTTCCACTCCATCAAATCCAGCACCTGAGAAGAGAATGAAAGAATCAAAATGAATTCATGCTTATAAGAGAGCTGCATGATGTCTCTTCTCCACTCTCTCCTCATCCCCACTTTTCTTCTGACAAAGCGAGAGTCCTCATCTAAACAGTTCTAGTCAAGAAATTCTGAATGGTGCAAGTGCCATCACAGTGACATAGATACAGACATGAGCACTTCATTAAGGAGGCTCTGATTCCAAGGGCCTTTTCTCTAATTGAGGCTGCTGCCAAGGCTTTGGGTGATGCAGGGGATTTTAGCCACAGCAGAGTGCATGCATCAGCAAGGTCAGGAAAGGCCCCAGGATATCCCGATCCTCTGGCAGGGCTCCACAGTGGCAGTTTTTCTATCCACACTGGCTTTCAAATCTTCACTAGCTACTGCACTCCACTGGCACAGAAAGCAGCAGTACAGGCAAGTATAGACTCAAAACGCCAGAAGGCTCCAAAAAGTTTTGAAGTAAGCCAGGGTTTTAGGCTCCCCCTCTTTACATACTATCTTCAAATTCCTGTGAATACTAAAATCATCACTCTCAGTGTTGTTTCCTTCACTGTTAAATTTCTGTTACATTACTGTAGGAAATTTTGGGAAAGTCTTCTGAGATCTGGTAATGAATCTAATTCCTTCATCACTTTTGCCTTATGTTTTCACTGAATATTGACTTTTTTATTCCTTCAGCTCAATTTATTTGCTTCAGTGCTATCACAGAACCAAACCGGTACTCAGCAATAATTAAAAGAACTATCAGAGAGGATTTAGAATGCCATTTTTGGGGTTGATTTGACCTTATTATTAGCACCTTTCATTTTCATTTCAAGGAGAATTAAACTCTGGAAGCAAAGGCTTTGCACTGCAATTCTGGAATCAGTTCCTGAAGGGTACCCAGCCTACTTCTTCTCAAGCATGCTGAGCAACCTTGATTCTCAAAAGGATTTGGGATTCCTAAGCACCTTGCAAGGGGCACTCAGCAGCTCAGAGGACTCAGCGTTTAATACATGCAACATTTGTACTTTGGGAAGATTAACATTACAAGCTGCTTTACAAAAGCCTTGTCAACAGAAGCTTTGGTAAAATGTGATGTCTGCTCTCCTTGTGTACAAAACCATTATGGATGTTTGTCAAATGCAATGATCAGGAACTGCTTCCTACAACCTGCTTAACACACACTGATGAATGGATACGGGAAGCAAACACTCTGTAAATAAACATGCAGGATTGTCTGTCAGGCCTTCTGGAAAACAGCAAAGAGGGATGATCTCCTGATTAATTTCCCATCCCAGTAATCTTTCAGTATAGGCAAGTGATGCACATAAGAGTGAACAATCCTAGCTGCAATACAAAATTATGTGCTCAGAGGTGACCAGTCCTGCTGAGGAGTCTGTGAGTTGTAACAGACAGACATTTCCAGGCAAACACAACACGAAATCAAACCTTAGAAAAAGAGGACAAAAGGGACAACCTCATTGCACAGTGTTGTGGTTTGACATAGAAAAAGAATTTTCTTGGAAGGAAGAGGTCAATTTAGATATTGACCAATTGAAAGTAGACACGCCTCTGAGAACACAGAGGGGTTAAAAGCAGAATTCCCAGGAGAACTCGCTCTCTTTGGTTCCGGTCAGGGCGCAGTGCAGCCTCTCCCCTGCCCGGCCGTGGCTGGGTGGGGAGGGGAAGGCCCATGGCCTGACTGAGGTGGGCCCAAGGGTGGAGGGGCTGGAACCGGGCTGGCCCCTGCAGATGGAAGGGTGGAGAAATCTGGGATGTCTCCGTTCCCCCCACCCAGAATATCTCTCTTTCGAGAGAGAGAGAAAGAAACAGCAGCAGCAGTTTTTATCAGCAGTTCACCACGGGGAAGGAGAAGAGCGGGGGGGCCACAAGGTGCCCAGCTGCCTGTGGGAGCTGGAGAATCCGGACAGAGAGCCAGCCAGGGAGTCGGGACTTTTAACCCTTCCTTGAGAAATGAAAGCTGTGTGAAATTTTTTCCCTCCTCGGTTTGAAGGAGAGGCAGAGAGACAGCTTGGACCCTGGGATGTTAGAAGGAGAAATTCTAGGTGGGAGGAGACGACGGAGTGGTTTTTCTGGCTGGACTTTTTCCTTGGTAACCACAGACTGAACCAATCTTCTCTTCCAAGAGAGACTGTATTTTAGGAGGATGCCAGTGAGTCAAGAGACCTGCTTCAGCTGGAAAAAGAAGTGGAGCGAACAGAGAAAAGTTAGGGGGTTTGTGGTGGTGCCCCCTGTCCTCAAAGAAAGAGAAGAAGATCTCTGTTCTTGGACTCTCGGCCCCGGGGGAAAATGGAGGGGGGGACTGTGGTCCCAAAAAATGAAAAACTGAACTGTTGTTTTTTCCCCCCTCTTGGCAGGGCATCCTTGAAAGGAAAAATCCTAAAAGCAGTCTGTCCACCCATGCATTGGTGGTGAAAGCACTGTGCATGGAAAGGAGAGGGTCACCATGGCAAACTTTTTCTCTGGGTGGTGCCATGGAAACACAGGATGTGGCTGCTGTGTTTCTTGGGGGGTCTGTGGCACAGGAGAGACTCCTGTTCCCTCAATGGACTGAGTATTGATTGTCTGGAGGGTGGAAACCTGATTGGGGTCCAGGTTGTGTCTTGCTATGGTTTGTTAGAGTTGGGTGGTGAGAGAAGAAATGCTTTGCAAGGTTTTCATTTTGATCTTTGTGTGTTTGTTTTCCCTTCTTTATTTCTTTTATAGTAGTAACTTAATAAAGGTTTTTTTTCTGTTATTAAGCTTGGGCCTGCTTTGCTCTGCTCTTGATTGTATTTCACAGCATTCAAGGGAGGGATTGAATTTTCATGGGGGTGCTGGCATTGTGCCAGTGTCAAACCATGACACACTGTAATTGTGTAAATCTGTTGCATTTCTGCAACTGGAATATGGGTTGTAGCTGACACACTCCCCTGTAAAATGGTATGCTGATTAAAGTTAGGAAAAATCAAAAAGGCCAACAGGTAATGCTATGGAATGACTGAGTAAGTCAGGACTTTTCAGCCTGGAAACAGATGACTGAGGAAGTATAAAATAGATCACTAAATTATGCCAACAGGAATGAGGTTCAGAAGAACCTGGAGATGTTTCTTCAGGAAACAGTTGTGTGATGTGGAATTACTTGGAAAAGATGATGTGGCACAAAATACTTAAATGGGTTCATGGGGAGGCCATGTAAGGAAAGTCTGTTGAAAAGAAATCTGTTGAAGATTATTTCATCAACAAACCACAAGAGGCTCAGGAAACCCCTTGCTTGACCTGAAGGAAGGAATAGAGAGAAACCTTGGGTGAAACAACACATATGTTTATCCTGTTCTTACATATCCCTAGGCATCTGTTTATGGTCCATGAGTTTTGAACAAGAAAATGGTAAGTCTTTGAATAGGACTTGTTCTATTATTTCCCTAGCATATTTTTGTTTCAACACAGTCTGAAGTCTGCAAGATTCCCTTGGTGGATTCATTCTGATTTTAGCAATGCCAACAGAAACACAAAACCAGCAGAGCTACTCTGAAGAGAATTACATTAAGCAAATCTTCAGAAAAGAAATATGTGTGAAAAATGCTTTGAGTTGAGTGGTGGTGATTGGAAAATGCAACATGCAGTAAATGTCCTTTACCACATCAGGATGAAACCCAAGTGCCAGACTGATTTTGCAGGACTGGGATAAATGCTGAGACACTGTAAGACACTAGTAGCACATCCTAGACTGAGGATAATTGCTAATGCATTCAATTTTCTCTGCTCTGCCCTTTCCCTACTGCTTCTGTTTTCCCTCTCGCTTAGCCTAATGGATATGTCATTGTGTGTTGGGAATGACATGCTTTTTTTCAGATAATCTTTTTGAAAGCCACAATTTTTGCTAGTGTTGTTCTTCCTTTTCCCACAAACCTACAGATATAAGGACCAAGAAGAAAAAGTCCACCCCCAGCTACTTCTTTTAGTGGGGGCTGCAGTGTTTGGCAAGAAATGCAAACATGCAGTTTAGGCACACATTGGTTTGTAAAAGTTTAATTTCCCAGCTGGGGCCACCTCAGCTCCGGCACAGAAGGAATATGTTGTAAACTGCAAGGGCTTAATATAGTAAAGATATTTACAATGGTAATAGCCTCATTTTGCAAGGAGTGACATCCAATTCTTAGCAACTGATTTTATGTATGGAGAAGGTTCAGCACTTCCTGCAGTTTTTATTCCCTGACCCTCCCTGCCATGAGAATTGCTGGTGTAGCCCACAGCCCCTTCCTGGACAGTGTGCTGTGGCTGCAGGCAGCAGCACGTGGCCTGGTCCTCTCAGCTGGAGGAGAGAAGTGCCCCAAGGGTGCATTCAGAACCAGCTCTGGGAGCCAGGAGGACAGCCCTGACCTCACTGCAAAAATCCTCGGGGACATTAGGCACCGGTGCTTATGGTGAGTCTCTCTGGATTTGCTCAGCATGTTTCAGCCACTTATCTACCCCCTGCAGATCTAAAGGGGTACTGAGAAGAGATGTGCTTTCATGGAGAAAAGAAAAGCACTGCAGAGGTCGTGGCTGGAAAGGCCTGCTGCACAGGGATGGACATTTCTTGGCATAGAGATGGGTATTCAGCAAATATCTGAAGCCCAGCACGCAGCAGCGCACTGCACGACCACAAACCTTACACCTTCCTCAAAGTTTCTAGTGAGTTTGGGTTTTTTAACTTCACTTCAATTTCAACTTGGCAATATCTATCAGTCAAAAATAATCAGCACAATCAAACCTATTGCCTGCAAATATTCTTATATCCCATTCAGTCCCTCGAGGGTCCGAGAAGATAAATAATTGTTTCATATCAAATTGCCAGTTTAAACACATTATAGAGTGCATTTATATAAAAGCAGCCTCACATTACTAAGTGAGAACTTAATGACTTAAGTTTTTTACCTGCAATAAAAATGCCTGCAAACAGTAAGTGTAGGGTGTTTTATTTTTAATTGGTTTTGGTTATTGAATCATTATAGCCAACACAAGCTTGAAATATTAAGGGGGAAAAAGAAGACCTAAGAAACCTGAAAGTTGATTATTGGGTATTCAAAATAATCAGAAAGAGTTTCTAACTTTTTAGTTTCAAATAATAAAATTTTAGTGTCTCTACAGCTTCAGAATATTTTTAGTGAGCTAGAATTTTTAGCTATTTTTCTGAGGTTTACAGGAAAGCTTTACTGTCACTCTGACAAAGATGAAAGCTGTTTTCTGTTTAAACTCATAATTTTAAAAAGTTAAAGCCTGAAGTTTTTTATGTGCCAAAGCAGAATGTATCTTACCTGAGAACATGTGATTAAGAAAATGGTAATGATTTCCTTGGCTTTTACTCTGAACCTATGGGCATATGCTTTTATTTTAAACTTTCTTGACCAACCATCTCAATTATAAGGACCCTGGATACTTTCATACTGCTCAGCAGCATAGGGAGTTTGTTAGATAATATTTTTTTAATATAAAATATATTTTAATATGTACTTGCTAAATAATCATGTTAAATAATAAATAATTTATTTAACTACCTGAGAGTTCCAGGCCCTAGAACAAGTCCCTTACCTACTTCCTGGAAATGTAAAGAATTAACACTTTCATCCTAAAGTTTTACTTCTGAGTGCATACTCATTATTTGGCATTCAGTTAGTTTAAGAATTTAAAATTATGCTTATCCATAATCTGAAATTGTTCTACTTAGAGCAATACTACCAAAGCAGTGTTAGGCAGGCTATTTGTACAGCAAATAGGCTCAGAAAATAACAGATAGTGCCCAAAACCAGGGATACCAAAGGAAGACTTTCCATTACTTAAAAAGTTGTCACAAATATTAATATGGGCATCAGACTTAAAAATAGAAGCAGGTAAATCAGATTACTAAGTTTCTTTTCAGTCTTGTCTAACTCACTTCAACCCTAATATTTCTTCCATTAATAATTCAAAGCTTCAAAACACAATTTTAAGCAAAATTTCAGAATACATCATAAATCTTCTGTTTAAGATACCAATATCAAATGGCAGAAATCATCTTTTGTCTTGCAAATACTTAAAATGGCATTTTGGAATTAAATGCACTTTCCATATTAGCAAATTTATGAAACAATGGCTGAAATCAAGTGTTTGATCCATAATATGGTTCATTTATTTTAACATGTTTCAATAATTTTCCAATGATTTTTCAAATTGGGATGTCTAAGTCTACTTTTCTTTAAATGTTATTATTCCTTTCCCAGAAAAAGCAAAAATCCACAAGGCTGAAGCAGTCCTTTTATCCACTGACTTCAGTATTGAGGCCAACTATGCAAGCTTTTCTTCTTTTGTTATCAACAGGTTCCTTTCCATCTTCCTTTGTGCTGATTCTCCATCAGTTAAAACAGAGAATGCCTTCAGGAGCTTTCCACCATTATCCCTGAAATATTAAGATCCATTTTTTCTGATACCCTTTTAGATTTTATTTCCTTGGACATTTGTATTATAAATAATGTCTTTCTTTCTTTCTTTCTTTTCCTCCAAGCCTTCCCAGTATTTCAATACACCTCAGGTTTTAAAAACTTAACCCCTAGCAATTCCCCATTATTAACATATGAGGGCTAAAATTGTTTTGGCTAAACTAAGTTTTAGTGAGCAGCTTTTTAAGGACTGGTATCCAGAAACTCCCAGTGACTTCACTGGAGTTCCATTTTGGATGGATAGCAATTTGTGAGAAGCCACAAAACGAACAGAGCAGAATAAAACCAAGAGATGAAGACAGGGAGGAAACAGCAGAAAGAAATAGAGTTAGGGAGTGGGAAAAAGTTCATATTTGGTGCAACATCCCATTTCTCTGAAGCGAGATTAAACTTAGAAATCCCAATACTCTATTTTTCCCTGTGTAAAAGAAATTTCTTGAGAGCAATTGAAACCTGCTGAGAAAATGTGTTTTTCTACTCTCATGTTTGCAGTATATCAGAATACAAGGCTACCATTGAGATCAAGAGGTAAAACAAATGGGAAGGCATTCCCTCCGTGGGCCATATGGGATCCCCCTGGCAGGACAGGGGCCAGTGGCATGCTGCAGGACTGGCTCCCCACTGCCACCCAGCACTGGGCTCGATTGGGTTGTCCCCACATGCCTGTGGGAAACAAAAAAATCTGCAGTGGCAGTCATGCCATAGGCATTGTCCATCACCTCATCAAATGCAATTAATTTCTTCATAAAACCCATAAACAAAGGTACAAGTGACATAATATATATTATCCAGTATATATATTAAGTTTATCACAATCTAAGCAAGATTATTAACAAAGGGTGAAGACATATTGATGCCTTAAGATTTTAGCTTTTATATCTTTCAAATTCTATACTGCATTAGTGCAAAGGTCTAAAATCCATAGAAAGTATAGTTAACCGTCTTCATGTTTTGGTCAGACAAGACAATCTCTGTAGGCCTGAGATCCAAGGACAGAGCACAGCCTCAGACTCGAAAAGTATAAACAAAACAAAAGTGAATTGTGGGGAGTGAGGTGGGGGAATATGGTTCATTACCTGAACCTGTAAATGAGGATTAACCCCTGATATGCAAATAGACCAAACTTATGCTGTCTGAAAAACTTGTGACCATTGTCCATCTTGGCTGTAGCCTCTGTAGTGCTTTTACACTGCCCAAGGTGTATCTATTGAAGGCCTTTAATAAATATCTATTTTATTCTATTAACTTTGTATAGCCTCTGTTCTAGGTAGCCATTCCAAGGCATCAACATCAGTAAAAAGGACATTATGTATTTGGCTAATAAAGAATAAAGTCTACTGCAAGACTGCTCCTAGCTAACAGAATGAGACAAGACTGAAATGCATTTGAAAATGGGAGAGATGGAACCTGAGATTTTTAGCTAAATTATACAGATTTTAAACCACATTTTTTCCAGTTCCCTATATTATCATACACAGCAGGTATCTTAAATAATTCATACAAGCTGGCAGTTCATTCACCCTCTTTACCAAAAAATGAAACACAAGTTAATATCATGTTTTAGATTTCAATGCTTTGCCTGTACTCCTTACTAATTCCTCTAGTGATGCTGAAGGTTCACTGTGCTCTGGGAAGGAATGACAAATGCCATCTAATGAGGAGGATAAGCACTGGAAAAGATGAGCTAAAAGGTACAACTCATCCCCCAACAAGGCAGGGAGCACATAAGGAATGTGCTGATCAAGCACACACGTACCTAATCTGTTGGAGGGGTTCCTTTTGAAGAGGGCTCGCAGCAGACTCTGGGCTTCTATGCTCAAAAACTGTGGCATTCCCAGCTTGGCTCTGAAAGAACACAACACTTGAAAAGAAAATAGATTTTTCAAGCTTTTTTTCCATCCCACTGTGGTGGAAACAGCAGAACTGTAGTAGTCATGACGGGCAGACACGTGAAATCTGTGACCAAAGGCTACCTAAGCATAGTGCAGTGCAGAGTGAGAAGCTGATCTTATTATGCTGGTCTTAAGGAACGTTTTACCACTAACTTCACTAGAGGTAGATCAGGTCTAATGAATCTCATAAGATTTTTGCAACCTAAATAGGTAATTTTCCTACAGAATTTTTTCACTTTTTTAGTTTGCTGGAATAAATTTAGCAATCAAGAGGAATTTAAACAATCAAACTTAATGAAAAAAATGTATACGAGACTTCATATGTTTAAAGAGAATAAAGCTTTTCTCTTGGCCATTCACCACTACATAAAAAATGCACTAGAAAGCAAAGCTAAGCTTCAATTACTTTTGTCTGCATTTAACATTAAATGAATGGGACATGGCAAAGGAAAAGATTTGAAACTTGGCAACAACAAAATATAAGATGTTCTACAGAAATCTGACTCTTCCACATTTTGTGGATACTGACATTATCACAAAAAGTATGATAAATTTATTTTGTAAGGTCCTCTCAGTAATTCACTTCCTACTCCAGCACCTGTTTAGTCTGAAGGCAATTTCGGAGTTAAACACAGGCATCAGCTATGTGTGTCTTATTAAATTCATACCTTGCATGGCTTTGGAAAGTTCATTATGCCCATCATTATTCTCTACTCATCAAATACTTGGGCCCTATGGAGTCTCCAGAGGGTAGAGTTAACTCACAGTTAGAAGAATGAAAGCAGTTTTGATACTCACTTGAGAATGAGTGCCATTGTCTCCTTTCTGTCTTTTCCCTGGAAGGGTAATGATCCCGTCAGCATCTCAAACTGTGGAGTAGCAACAAAATGGTAAATCAAATGTGCATTGGAATGGCCTGCATAGCTGACACATCCATCTTCTATTTCAAACACAACTGAAAACTAGAGGAAAATAAATGATCCAACAAGCTGTGCTTCAGAAAAAAAATGGCCCAGCACGTCTGGATGACTGTTCCATTCCAGAGATGTGTTACAAACTGTTTACGGTGATATTTGTTGTCAAGTTTTGATACATTTGGGAAGAAATGTCACATACGACACTTCCTCCAGCACCTGTGGTTTTATGACCAATGCTGGCAAAGAGGTATTTAGCTAAAGGGACCCTTATTCTGCATGGATATGGTTCCTCTTAGCAAGGAAAATAGATTTGATATGCCACGCCCCACCTTTTTAGGTTGAATCAAACCACCTCTTTGTGTATTTGCAACACTTAGAGATGCCTCTCTGATATTCTCAAGGCTTTTGGGCGTGCCTTTTCTCTCCTGCTTTGGTTCCTCTGTCTGTACTCAGTGATGAATCTCATAAGTGTCACATTTAACTGAACCCAAATCTCAAAGCAAAACTCAACAGTCATCATCAATTATTTGCCTAAGTCAAGTGTTGAAACATCAATCAGTTATGGTTCCTTGGAGACAGATTAGTGCTTTCAGTAAATTTGACAGGAATTTCACATCTGTAAGAAGTGAAAGAAAAAGCTGAAGAAGCTTGCCTAACTTGGATTCAACACCAGGTCTTTCACACAGCTCTCACCATGGTGTTTTATGGAGTGGCAGCTGCTTGCTCTGACTAAGGGAGGCTGAAGGCTGTGCATCACTAAATATAAAGATATCAAGAACATAATTCATCTTGGACACAAAGGAGAACTATGTCCATTGAGGGTAGGGTGAACTGTTACTTGTGTCTGTCACTCAGGCTTTGAATCTCTTCTACTTTAGTAAGTTAATTAATTACTGTAATTAATTAATCTAATAATTAATACTCATTGCTATAAGTAAATACTTGCTAAGGCAGGAAGGATTCTTCAAGTCCTATAGCTTTTGTACCTTAACCCACAAGAAACCACAGTGGTCCCAGAAAGCACATTTGTGCTAAGAAGGATTCTTCCATTACCAAAATTTGTGTCAGACTGCCCCACAGCCTGACCCTTCCTCCTGCCCAGATTAAATACAGCTATACCAGAAGAAAAATATAGAAAACAAAAGAAAACTAATGGTGAACCTGTGATGCTAATTTTGGGAGAAGGGCAGAGGAGATGTTTAGAAGCCAGATAACTAATTGAATATAGTTAATTTCAGGATTAATCTTCATTAGTAACAAAGTACCTCAAAGCACAAAAATGCATAGTAGAAACAGAAATAAAACCACTTAAAAAATTTATATTGCTGCCAAATATAAACAAGATTTGGAAAAAACAAATGTATTAAACAAATATTAAACAAATGTATTCTGCTTGGGTTGGGAGAGGCAAGAAAAGAGCTGCCTGGTAGATCTGGAGAAAAGCAGCTCATTTTCTACAAAGAAACATAATGGGGGAGAATTTTTAAACCTGCCTAGATGATGCTGGAGCTTAAATACCATTTTAAAAGTAATTCTGACTTATTAAAGCCTTAGTCCTTATAAAAGTGTTCAGATATACTGGGAATGAAGGGCAGAGAACATTGCTTCCCAGGGCAGCAGCAGCAATGGTACAGATTGTACCAAACACTCCTTGTGATTTCTAGAGCATTTATGCTTATGGGAAGTACCTAATGTTCACTTACACTTGCTCACATTACTTTGTTATTATAATAAATCTAATTTAGTGGCACCAACAATGGCTGATATGTCTTTTTTATACTGGCATAAATGGGCTTGACAGTGCTGATGCAGATGATACAGATACAAACAACTCCTTGACTGTGTGGGAAGGGACTGTAGTTCCCACCCACCCCAATATCCCAGAATACCTGCAAATTCACCATGACTGCAAGGGACAGAAACAAGAAGGAAGGAACTTGGAAGAAACTTAAGTTGCAGGAGGGAGCAGGGGGAATGACTGCTCTGGAGGCTGCAGGAAACATTCACTGTGCTGCTGTAAAGGCCAGCACTTTGTTACCACATCTCCAATTGTGCAGGCCTAATACTGAGATTAATTCAGGTTCAGAAGAAATGAGGTTAACATCAATATTTAAAGTGAAAGGCAAACATGTAAGTTAAGTGTACCAGAGCTTTTTACTTCAATGAACTTAGCTAAGCAGCATCTGGAAGAAAGCATTAGTTTCTCAGTTGCAGTCTTGACTAGATTTGCTGAAGGTTCAAAACGAAAGAACAAGACAGAAAAAAAAAATTGAAATTGTTAAAGCTATCATTCCACTGCACAGTGACCTGTCTTCCTGCTTATTGTTTCAAAAAGTCAAAAATTTTGCTAAATCTGAAAATGAAAACAGAAGTGAGAACATGCTGCTTACACTCTTGCACATTAATACAGAGCTGTATGGTTACAGCAGGTTGACAATAAGCTGGGACTAGGGGTGGATGAACTCTGCAGTATTTTTGTCTATTAAAGCAGCCCCTATAGTTTTGCTGGGGGACTCAGTTTTCATTTTCTCTACTTCTCCATCTGTAGAAACCATCTGTTTGCTCCTTCCCACCGATTCACTTCCCAGGTCTTTCGGAGGGCCATCTTCTGTTAGAATTCTGAAGGCTGCACCTCCCTCTAACCTTGACTTCCTTTCTGTACCAAAGAAAGTGCATGAAAGGCAAATATTCTTTGTTCCAGTTCAGCCGACTATTTAGAGAGCCACAGAATTGGGCTTAATGGGCCTCTGGAGTCACATAATCCCTGCTGAGGTAAAAAAAAAAATATATATATATTATGGAGTGCTCCCTTTCTCTAGTTTTCAGGGCAGTCTCCAATTTCAGTAGGCAAAGCATGAGCACCTCCCAGAAGATATAGGTGTGGAAAAACCTTGGAAAAGAGTGCCACATTTCCTGAGGAAATTCAGGATTCAAGAAGTGACCCAGGAAGGTTATTGGAGAAGATAATGAGTGAGAAAAAATCCTCAACCTGGCTAACTGCATATGAATCTCCCTAATGGATGGAAGGAAAGTAGGTTGTGCAAACTACTTCAGCTCAAGTCTGCTGAAGTATCATGAGCATAGGATAAAAGTCAGAGTTACAAAGAAACTTGAAACCATTCAGATTTGGAAAACACAGAGAGAGACACTCTCATCAGAATGGCCAGGTTGTCCTCTCAACACTTCCAGTCATTTTCCAGATGTCTGAGAACTGCTCAAGCACTCAGTTTAATACTTGCAAAATGCATTAAATATTTTTCATTATCTGTGTGTGTGAAACATAACCCTTTCACAAAGGGTTGAAACCCTTAACACAGCAACAAGCAAAAGCATTCAAAATAATGTTCATGAAGACCATCTCTTGCACTGGGAATAAAAAAAGTGTAATAATGGGATTTTGTAAAAGAAGATGGATACTTTGATGTTTTGCATTGATTTTTCCAATGCCACAAAATAAGTACAGACCTGAATACTTCGGATAGCAAAGGGACATTTTCTTTTCTAGTGAAAACTTAATTACTTGCTGACACATATGAACACATTTTTTCTTGTTTGGGACTGCTACCAAGTCATTGCAACCATTTCTGTAATTATATTCCCCTCTCTGCTCACATGACTCTCAAAGGTGTACAGTGTTTTTTTCCTGAACTGAAAGAGATACAACTTTCCTAAGGTCTGTGACCCTGTAAATCAGCTGGTAGGATGAACTACAAAAGCACTGCTTTGTGAGGTTTGTAGATGTCAGATCAGGCAGACCAGTTTATCTGGGCTTCAGAGATGGCAGTGTGGGCATCAAAACTCTTGCAGTGGAGCTGAAAAGGTATTTCATACCCAATTTTTTAACAATGGTCAAACTCTTGCACATGAAGATCACTTGATACAAAGCTTTTCCAGAGTATATCCTATCCAAAACCTCCAATGCAACAAGTAAGATACAGAAAGGCAGAAAAGGAAAACTGTCTGGTCTTGATAAAATAAATTCACATAAATTCACCAGCAGAAATTATAGAAGTGTTTCACCAGTCATCACCACGTAAGTAATGAGAAGCAGGGACTGTCTTCTGGAATGCTGGAAGGGGAGAATTTAAAAATTTGTGTAACTGTACCTGCTGACATACAATAAGTAAGCTGCCATAAGGCAATTTAAATAAACTGAGCAGCAAACAAACAGAGCAGGTAAGTTTCAGTTGTGTGGCCTGTGTCAAAGACCTGGCAGTAAATGAAGTTCTACTGTTGTTGACGGTTAGTGTTGTTGGTGAATAATAATTCTTGAAATAATTAATAACACAATTAATAAATAAGACCAGAGCTTGGTAATTTTCAGACAAGTTTGTTTTGCTATTAATAATCACAACATGCCACATTTAAGGCATGTGAAAGGATCATTCAGTTTGATTCTAGTCTGTGCCCTGTCAATGTGGGTTGGCAAGAAGCTGCCAACCAGCTGACTCCTCATGCTGAAGCAGCAATTCCTCTTCACAGAACAGAAAAGTCAGTGTTTGGTTGCTCTGATGATGAGGAAGATACAGGCCATACTATAACTATCAGACTAATATGTTCCCTTTTTTGATAGGAATTTTAGATATAAAACTTGCACTTTCATATTTTCTTCATCTAATTTACATCATATTGCAAAGTGCTTAGGAAAAAATGCTAATAAATCATTTGAATAGCATTTAATTATCTTAAGTTTTTCAGACTGACAAAAACAGCTTCCATAATAGAACATATATGTGACAGAACAAGGAAAACAAGAAAAGAAGAGAGTGAAAGACAGCATCAGAAAATCCTCCCAGACATTTAGTATGTGGAAATATATGTTTTTTGGTTCCAGTCAGATAAAAATTGAAAAGGAAAAAAGGTTGAACAGATTGACATATTTTTCTCTGATACCTAGTAACACTTAAAGGCTTAATACATTAGCTTGGAGTTAAAAGGGTTCTACTTTCTTCAATTCATCTCCTTTTATAGGGATTCTTATATTTTGTAATTCTAATATGCTGAATCCCTAGGGGAGAGTTGAAAAGAATAATGGAAAGAAAAAAAAAAAAAAGCCTAGCAAAACCCAGGGAGGAAGCAGTCCAGTTTATTAAGAGTTTATTGCTGGTGAAAGAACGATCTATACACCATATGCACCATCTTTTAATGGGAAACAAAGAGTGAGAAGACTGAGCTGTTTACCAAAAATAAATATATAATAAAAAAGTTAAAGAGTAGGGATAGATATAATGTATGAGACATACCCTATTGATTTTTGTGAATAAATCTACGTGGTTCCGAAGTACTGAGCATCCCCAAATGGATTTGTGGCCACAGGAGATAAGGATGTTCCATTCATTTTATAATTCAGGCAGTAATTACAATATTAATGTAGATTAACTGCTGCCAGCCTGCTAGATCAGTGATGTAGGTCCTCCCCAACCCAAATTCTCACTGTTTTTCACATTGCTTCCTATGCCTCCTCTGGTGACATCAGTTGTCGACTTCAGGTGAAAAAAATTTAAACATATTCCACGGATTTTGTAATGTAGTGTAATATATAGCCACCAAAAATAGCCTCCATTCCACAGGAAATGGTGGAGTATTGGAAGAGCACATTGCTATGCTAATTTCTGGTTCTGCCCATGTTCTGCTGTGAGCCACAGCTGCCTGGGGATGGCCATGCCCTGAGCACAGGGCAGATCTGCAACCTGCACACCTCCAGAGAGAGCAGCATCAGCTCTGCTATCAAACATATCCCTGTGAGAGTAGCAAGTGTCTGGTGTCTGGGCTCAAGGGACAGCACTATGCTTAATCAAACAATGCTCCCAAAAACTTAGTGCTCATGCAGCTTTGAAAAAAATCAGTGTCACAAACTAACTTCTTGATCTTTTCTTCATCCACCTCAGCAACAATAGCACACAGGCTGAAGAGGCTGGAGGGGTGCAGCGCGGGGGAGACAGGTTAGCATCTGAACATGTAATTTTAAATGGCTGGTGTGGGAGGGGACTTAGGAGACAGTCCCGCTGAGCTACCATGGGAGGTAACAAGTGTGTAGTTTCCCGCCTCCCCTGTTGTCAATCTTTTGTTATACCTTCCCCTTGTTCCTGTCCATCATCATGTAAGCCATCCCCCAGTTCTGGAAAGTTCTTCGTTCTCTGTACTCCTATTGGTTCCTTCCCTGTAACCACTCCTTCCCCTTGTCCCTATTGGCTGTAACCCCATCATTCATCCTCTACTCCGCCCCTGAACCCTTCCCTCATTGGATGTTTCCTACCCGGACCCTCCTTCTCTGCCACAGTTATTATCCTCACACCACCCTCAGTCTGGGGCTCTCAGTGCGAGCTCCCTTCCAGAGCGATTGTCTTTCCTCCGCTCCCCAACCTGCTTTTTCCTATAATAAACCCTCTTGGAAACTAAGCCGCCTGAGTGTCATCCTGCCGTCAAGAGGAAGCTGCTTCTACACTATCCGGCTCCTGTGGACCCGACTCTGGCGTGCCCAGAGGTCGAAGGACCCAGGTGCGTCAGGCTGGCTTGAGGAGAGTGCAGTACCTCTCTGAAGAACCTCACTGATGCTACAATTTTTATCTGTGGGGTCTGATCCCTCCCGCAGCCACCCCTTGAGCACAATTTCTGCATTACCATGAGCACGCCAAAGGACCACCAGTCGGCACTCTGCGTGTGCCCTCGCCGGTTGACCACCTCTGGGGCCATGTACTCTATTGTCCCGCAGAACGAGTACGCTCTCTTGTCATGGTCGATGGCTTCTTTACTCAGACCAAAATCTACATAAATCGAAGCAGAACAGGACTTGTCAGGTCTCTAAAAATTATCATTTATGCTTTTACTCGCTTAAATTGTTTGAACAAAACATGCCAACCAGCTGGTGAAGTGCCCTTCTGTCCCCATGCAGAAAGAGGCCATAGACCTGTGTGTGCTGGAGCCAGGCCTATGTGGAGTGCCTGGCACTTCTTAATACACCCTGAAAATAGGCATATCATTTTCCCTGCGCAGAATGAGGTTCTGGCTCAAAGCAGAAGGGAGTTTAAATAAGCAGGTATATACAATTCAGGTTGGGTAAAGGCAACGTTAGTGAGGATTCTTGTGCAGCTGTATTCCAAAGTATTAGGAATAATAATCCCAGATTACACCAGTGAAAAGGTTGGATAGACAGTGCCTCTAGAGTGGGAAAGGGATGTTTTTCCAGCCATCCTCTGCCTGGATTAAATAGTCATATTGGAAGCATCCTTCCAGCCACAATGGCAAGCAGCCAAACTCGCCTGCTTCACATCAGTCAAGAGCACAATTTTACCAAGAAAATGCTGTATGTTCTCCATGTGCTGTGCAGCATGGGGGTTGACAAATTGACAGAGAAGCTCAACACTCCAGCTCTTCTGGCTTCTAGTTATTGTAAGCAAACTCTTTCCAACCAAAGACCAGGATGCATGCAATATACTGCAGAAAAAAAATCCGCTTATAGGCATGAAGTTTTCAGTTTCTCACATACCTGTTATCTTAATGTGACCCTCTTCATCAAGAAGAATGCTATAAAGCAAAAAAGAAACATTCATTCATTAGCCAGGCATAAACTGCAGTTAAAAAACGTGGATAGAAGATGTTTAATCTCATGTCTGATGCATGCACAGCCTGAGGCATTTCCATGAGGAGCCTCCTCTGTGCTCCATAGAATGGTCAAGGTGGGCATGCAAACAGAGCTCAGAAAGAATAGGGTGTTCAAAGCCAACAGCTGCAGTATATGCTTCCAGCAGGAGAAGGAGCTACACATTTCCTGTTGTTGTCACAAGAAAAGGCAATAGTAAAATAATCAAGGCTTGGACTCACTGGACCTAAAATTAAGTCCAAAGGTTCATGCTGAAGTAATAAAAGTCATCACAGAGCACAGCGACTAGTCACAGCCTAACTGCATGGATCCCAGCCTCTGCTTATTTTTTCTGTCCAGAGCACAGATGAAAATTCAGCCTTGAAGCCAAATTCAAGTGTTCTCACATTTGCCACCTGCCAACATATTTTTTCCTAACAGAGGCACTCCAACATTTCTGTAGTTCACAAAAAGCAGTGCTAGTTTTTGTGGAAACAAGAAGGAATCCTGAATTGAAAAATAATGCTTTTGGTAAATAAAAACTGACATAGTAATGAAGGTGGTCTTTTCTCAGTCCTAGTTAGACTCAGTATATTTCTCTTTTCAAACTGATCTAGCATGGTGCCAACTATTTTTTTATTCCTCTTCTCTTAGAGAATCACTTTAATTTTTCAGGAAGAAAAAAGGATAGAAGTGAACCAAATATAATGGGCTATACTTTTGTGAAAAGTCACATCTGAACTGAAACATAATTGAAAAAATATGTTCTTCTGTCATTCATGTGTTTAGAAAAAGCTGTTGTGTAAGTCATCAAAGGCCAGCAACTAAGTCAGTACCATGAGTCCAATAATTAAAGCCTTCTCTTCTCAATAAAAGCACCTTACTTTTATTCTTTCTGCACAGTTTCCTTGAACACATAATTTTCAAGTACTAGTCTATACCAGACACATTTAAATGTATTTTTGTGACTACAACCCCTAAACTTGTGCTTCAGAAGAGAACAGAATAAAACACCTGCCAGTGAGGAAGTGAGCCTGTATGTATTGAGCTCCCCAGACCTGGATCTGGAAAAATAACAGGGGGAATGGAGCTCACAAAAATCACCCCAAATTTTGCCCCACACCCAGGAAGCCCCTGTGAATAATTATGCAATTCAAAGGTTGTGGGAATTTTCCCAGAAGCACTGATTTTACATTTAATGGGCCTTACATTTCATACTTGCCTATTGAAAATCCACGCTGCTTCAGTAGGTACATGATGCGTGTTTCCCACACTTTGCCTTGATTAAAGGGCTCACACCTCACCCTCATTAAAGGATAGAGGCAACACCAACAGAGCTTTCACAGTGATAATACTGCCTGAGGTTGAGTCAGAAACATACAGCAACTTTCTCAGACTGTTTGCATGAGCAGCAAAATGAATAGATCCTGGCTTCCAATGGATGTGTATCCTATATCCCCTAAAACGTGATCTACAGTTCCTTCCTCCATCTCATGTTCCCTAATCACCCTTCTACCATGCCTCAGCTGCTGGCAGCTTCCTCTGTGGCCCCTGGCAGCACCCTTCGGACATCTGGCAGCACAAGTAATGCTACAGTCACTAACCAAAGATTGTATTTCATGTAAAATAAAAGCAATATGCTAATAGTGAGGGAAAAACAAGGGCAACTGTTGCACTGAATTATCTGAGAGTGAAATTAAGAAGAAAAGAACAAATACTTGCATCTAAGAATGCAAATTACAACAACAGACAAATAGACTTCCTGTGACAGTAGAAGCAAATTTATCTGATCATACTCTGTACTCTCTTTTTATATTTGTCACCTTACAATTCCCTTTTATCCCACAGTATCCATAGCAGACATTCTATTGTGACAATCACAATTACTTTAGTGATGGTTTACAGGATAAACTAATCTGAAATAAGATTGTATTATCCTATGGAAGAGGAAAACCAACAAAAAGTTCTTAATATGATTCAGGCTTGAGAATAGTCTTTCATCTAAATGAATGTTTTGAAATTATAAAAATCATTAAAAAGTAGACTACTTTAAAATGCTAATCTAGGTTACTGAATGACAAAATTCAGCTAGGTTCTTTTAATTTTATTTGTTCAGTCCAATGCTTGAGTGCTTTTACAGGATACTGTCATTGTAAACCTTCTCTTCAAAGCAGTAGTAACAGTTATTGGGTGAAAAATATGCCAACACCATAAATAAATGAACAAAACATAAGCTTGGAACAAAAAATGCCAGAAAATAAGGGTGTCTCTTAGAGAAGAGGAGACTGAGGGGAGACATTATCACAGTCTACAGGTTTCTCAAAATGGGAAGAGGAGGGGCAGGCACTGATCTCTTCTCTATGGTGACAAGCGACAGGACCCATAGGAATGGACTGAAGTTGTGTCAGGGAGGTTTAGGTTGGATATTAGGAAAAGGTTCTTCACCCAGAGGGTGGCTGGGCACTGGAACAGGCTCCTGAGAGAAAGGGTCGCAGCACCAGCCTGACAGAGCCCAAGGAGTGTTTGGACAATGCTCTCAGACACATGATGTGACTCTTGGGGTTGTCTAAGGGATATTATATTATTCTATGATTGAGCATTTTAGCATCAGGACCATCCCACAAACATTCAAACTGCTTTCACTGACCTCAGTTTAAAAGTATGCCCTGAGAAAATAAAGGCTGGAAATCTCCATGCTAGAGGCTAGGGCAGCTACATTTGTAGTAGAGGAATGACACAGTCTGAGTTACAGGAGAAATCTCATAGCAGAGCTAGGACTGCAAACTCCATATCAACTTTTCTGCTGCAGCTTTATCTCAGGGGAAAAAAGTTTTTGTTATGAATTGTTGGCATTGCTTTATATTATGTCTTAAATTTAAAGCCTGAACAATTCTCCCCCATTTTTCTCTCACTCTCTTTATTTTTGGTTTTGAGTCATGTCTTCTGGACTTTACTTTGAGATCCAACATCCC